AAACTGTGGCTATACTGAAGTCAGTGAAAAAAAATACTTGATCATGATGTAAAGATTGTAACTCAGAAACTGGATTTTAAAACTGAGGTTGAAGAAATTTTTAATGAGTCTGATTTGCATTAGAAATCTATGTTGATACTACTTCAGCAGAAAGCTACATTATGAAAGGGCAAGCCATAGAAGAGTACAGAAACGTAGTGAGAGCATGCAGGGATGCGACGAGGAAGGCCAAGGCTCACCTGGAATTGAAGCTGGCAAGGGATGTCAAAAACAACAAGAAGGGCTTCTTCAACTACATCAGCAGCAAAAGGAAGGCTAGGGACAACGTGGGACCGCTGCTGAATGAGGCGGGTGTCCTGGTGACGGAGGATGCGGAGAAGGCAGAGCTAATGAATGCCTTCTTTGCTTCAGTCTTCAGTGCTAAGACTGGCCCTCAGGAATCCCAGGCCCCGGAGGGAAGAGAAGAAGCCTACAAAGAGGACGACTTAGTTTTCATGAGACCTCGCAGGAGGCTGCTGCAGTGGGGATCTCCTGCACTCCAGCCCCAGAGACCTCACAGCACTTAGGCTGTAATGATTGGAGGAACGCAAGCAAAACCCCTTTGTGCACTAGCGGGTGGAGAGAGGACACTGTAGATGCTATGCTGAGAATGCGTGAAAATTTTCGAATGAAAGCCAGGGAGAGACAAGGAGCTATATCCATGCCCTGACCTCCGTCCCATTGCACATCTGAACCTGAACTCTCAGCTAATAACCCCTGAGCCACTAAGCTGCCTTCCCTGAGCATGCCTGCCTTCGCTGGGGAATTCTAGGAATGCGGACTTCAGCACGGTGTGGGGTTGTTGCTGCTCACCCTCTGTCCAACCAAATGTTTACAAGCTGCAGTGGGGTTGGTATTGCTACGATAAAGCCCCATTGTGGGTGTTTGCAACATTCTTTAACTAAAGATTTATTTTCCCGGGTAAGGTTCCATTTGAACAGCAGGAGCCAACATCAGAGAGCTGGAGAGAGGACTTGCTCCTTCCCTGGCACAGCGCACCTTCACCCCTGTCCCTTCACCATCCCCTCTCACAATCCCTTCGTTTTTAAAGCATTCAAGCATTAGTGACTGGCATATCGAAGAGGCTGTAGTTAGCGGTGTATTGCCTCAAATTACAGGGGCAATTGATTGAAGGAGTTAAGAGGAGAAAGTCTGTGGGAGGATGGAGCTGGTATCACTGACACAAACCTCTCTCTCTTGATCTCCTCTCCATGCTAAAGCAACCCTGTCTTTAGCCTCCACCTACTTGAATTTTTCCTGTTGGAGGATGTGGGAGGTCTGCTGTTGACCCGTATCCGAGGAAGATAGGAACTAAGCTGGTCTTATGGGCCCCACTGCCTGCTTGGCCTTGTCCACAGCTCTGTGTCCTCTGTGTCTTTGCTGTGTGTGTGTCTCACACAGCAATGCTGCCCAAGTCTGTGGGTTTGTTTCTAGCAGGTGTGGTAACAAGGAGTGAAGGAATGCACTCCTCAGTCCCTGTCTGCGGGGGACAGTGAAAGGTCATCCTATTTCCTTTGAAAACCTGCTGACAAAGGAAGACAGTGCAATTAGTGTCCTCAGTATGGCAGAACAACCATGTGACCAGCATCTCTGAAAGATCCCAACAGTGCATCTTGGAGTCTCATCAAACTCTGTTCGCACGCAGTTCCTACAGGTGCAGTCATAAGTGCCACATTTCATAACTAGGCAGTGGGCGGGGGGGTTGGACTAGATGACCCACAGAGGTCCCTTCCAACCCCTACTATTCTGTAAGCCTGAGTGAAGACTGGTAATTATTGATAAGGGAGCAGCATCAGGGCATACCTCAAATTACATTGTATAAGTGTTTTTTGGATAAGATCCTAAACAAATCAACTTAATGTTTTGCTTTAGTGGTAAGAAGACTATTTTTGTCTGAAACTAATCTAAATAATGTGTTCTGAGTATTGTGCAAAGTTAATAGTGAGAATATAGAATTTGATAAAAGGAGCATTCTGTCTGAAAGTAGATTATTTTGTAATTTTCACCTATGTGATTTTGCACAACAATAAAAATAAATACAAATCCATTCATCATCGCTGCTCGCTATGAAACAAGGAGGTACCCAGGGCTTTCTGACAATTGTATAGCCTTAATGCATTTCAGGTTGCATAACAAAAAAATTTATCACTGGTCACTTTTCAAAATCCTAAGGTACATATTCAGTTTCCAACCTGGAAAATATCTTCCTGTTTTTATTAATTATTATAACACAGTTGAAAGGTTCTATACAAATGTAAAGATGGCCTTCTGATTTCACGCTTGCTCTATTCTTTTTTTTTTTAAATTTCCCTATTCCAAGTATGAAATCTTCCATTTGGTAATTCCTTCTGTCTGAAGAATTATTATTCCTGTTCATTAAATGATGTGATAAACACAGCTTAAAAATATTTTGGTGCCACAGAATCTGTTGTGAATGAGACATCTGTAGTCACAAATTTATTTGATATATAATTGTTAAAATCAAAACCAGATGTGCAGATGTGTTGACTATATAGTGATACGCTAATAACTACTGCAGAGATTTTTAGATACTTGCTAGCTAGTTTCAAGGCAGAGTTATATCGAGGTGGTCTGGAATTAATTTAGAGCCCTTCAGGCCCATCACTGAATCCTTCCATGGACCAGGCTTAGAAGCCAACGGTTGCGCCAAATACTCTGGATTTAGAATTATCCTTACATCAATGGAATTTGTTCATAATTTAAGTGTGTATGATGCACTGTCTGAGCTTAGCGATCTGTTGGAACGATTGCAGACAATGGACATTGCACTGCTAGAAGCTCTCTCACATTTGTCAGGACAGGCTTAGATTTCTGATTGCATTTTTGTTAGGTTAGGAATATATGCAATAAAGATGGCAGTGCCAGATAAAATTTGTACTATGAAAACAGGGATATGCATGACAGCAAAGCTGTTAAAATCCATGTAGCATAATTAGGAGCTTGGCAAACAATAAAATAAAATGGCTGATGAAAGCAAGGCTTTTTAAGGCTAAAGCTTACTCAAGCATCTATGTTTTCCTGCATATTAATTCCGTATTGTAGTCTTTCCTAATCAAAAACTGAATCCATGCTAAGAATGGGCTGGGTCACTTGTTGAAAAGTGTGGTCCACAAATACCAGAATTCTTGCCTAAATAATAACTGACTATTACAGTAAGTTTAACACTCCCAAAGAACTTGAAAATGTCTGTAAAGAGAAGTGTCCCAGAAATCCTTAATGTCTTGCTAGGAATAGTACGTCATTCCTAGGGTCTTCACTCTCTCTCTTTTTTTTTTTTTTTTTAAAGTACTTAGTTTGATAGCCTCTGGTAAGTTTATTTCTGTACGTGGATGTATTTCCATTTTTCAGGCAGAAACTTTTGGCAATAATACATGTGGCAAAAACATTGTGAACATTTTATTGTGTGAGCTACATGTAAGTACTCATTGTAAAATATTTATGGAATATAAATGCATAACTAAGAAGGTAATACTTTGTCTAGCCATTAATTTAATATGATAATAATGTCTGTCATAAGGAAATTAGATCCATTAGTGGTTCATGGATTGTAAGGGCTTTATTTCTGTATCACTCTATCTGTTATTTTCAATCTGTGCTGACAATTATACTTAATTCTTTCATAGGTAGAAATTTTGAAAAATTTCATCACTAATATAACTGGTAGACTATTCGTTCATGAACTTGTGCATTGTTCATAGATGTCTGGCTCAAAATATTATATATTCACTGCTGAACGGTTGATGATGCTTTGGTTTTGATTCAGGTATATTCAGTCAAAAGTAATTCCAACAATATGAATCAACAGTAGCAATTAATATATTTGGAAGAGTTTATGCAGCTATATACACACTAAAATTGCTCTTTTATCCTCAGAACCTTAAAATAATAACTGCCATTCTTTTTCATAGAAATAAAAAGCTTAATAGATTTTCATAAAACTCCAATAATATATTTCATAATACTCCCATAAATTATGATAATAGTTCTTCAGCTATTTTTTTGATGACTCAGACAGTACTATGTACACTGTTTAAATCATAACTTCTAGGCTAGCAAGCAATTTATAGTTCAAAATACATTTTTCTTGTACAATTCATGTGTATTATACAGAAACCCTCACTCAAAACGAAGAAATAAATTTCAGGTCCAAGAAATAACAAGCAATACTATCCACATGAATTTCTCTCTAAAAATATTTTTGTTTTATTCAAAAGAAGAACTTACAAATCAAAACTATTTCCATGACCAGGATATGCTACAGCAGCTCTACCGTGTTAAGCGTTGTGCCCCTTTTTGTTCGAGGACTGGACAGAAAGTGCCAGACTCTTTTCTGCAGTTCTTTTTCCACACGGATTATTTTAGCCTGGTTTCAGCAGTGCCTGGTCTTTCCCAGCCAGCTTTGATGATCAAACAAAGTCAGTTGCCCTGAAGGCCTGTCCTGAAAAGGCCAAATGATGTCAGTTCACAAAAGCTATGGATTTAAAAAAAATAGGAATAGACATTAAAAATTTGTGTAGTTAACATTTTTCATGACAGAATATTCCAGTGTTTTAAATTGGTCAGTAGTTTAAAAAATGATAAAAAATGCCTTTGGCAACATGAATGCAAGGCTGTCATAGAGAAAGAAATGTCTGCACCTCTGCTGAGAACTTGCAAAAGAACAGGAAAGGAATTTGGCATCATTTATAGAGACAAGTTATTTTTTCCTATTTACAGTAGTAAATACAAAGTGATAGTTTTTTCTTTGTAAGTACTTCTGATATCATCTTTAAATGACTCAAGACAAATACGTACATTTATAGGAGCTGTCAAATTTTTGCCCTCAGTCTTAAACTGGTGATGAAAATGTCATCAAATATGACCAATGTTGTACACAAATGCTTACAATTAAATAGTCTTTTCACCTTATAAAATATCTATTAATGAAGTAAATTTATTACCTGCATTAAATCCAAATGTGGACTGTTGCCGAGTTTCAGCATCCGTGAAAGGACGGGAACGACTCTCACACGCATTGATACGATGCACAGTCGGATTCTTTATTATCCCGCTTGTGCGGTTATACACATTTTCCATATCTATATACACGATTACGCTTATTCGGATAGGCTACAGATATAAATCACGCGCTGTTCACATGCCCCGCATTCCCTTATGATTGGTAACTATGCACTAATGCCAATAGCAACAGACTGCCTCCACGTCCTTGAACACATCTTGGTTTTGCTAACCCACACCATATGCACTATCAGAACTTTCTCAATGGCTGTTCTTAGCTGTCTTTTCCAGCAGCCTGTTCAGTTATGCTGTTTTGCTTAAGCGGCCTAGTCATGCTAATTCTCAAGCTACATCGACCCCAACAGACTGTTCACATTGTTGAGAGAGTAGACAGTTCTTAAAAAAACTTAGTCAAAATGTTCAGTCCTGAATGTATTATGACAATATCCAATTTAATCTTAAGTAATCTTATTTTGACGGAACCAACCCGTGTAAATGTAGCTAAAATGTTTGTGTGTATGTCAGTCTGGAATAAGGGTGTTTGGGCCATTTTTTAAACTAAGTTGTATTTTAGAGATTAAGATCCAGGTTTGTGGCATTAAAATCAAGAGACACAAATCAATGACTTGAGAAGTGTAAGAGGTCCTTAATGTGAAGTGATTCTCAACCATGGTGACTTGAGACTAAATTAGGTGTAAATGTAGTCCAACTAAATACAGCATATCAAATTGAAGGGGCTTTTGAAACAAATGTGATTGCCATTTCTGCCCTTCAGTATTTGTAGACTACAGTGGACAAAAATAGAACATTTGTGGTTTGGGTTTGTTTTTAATAGGGGAAGTGTTTTAACGTCTCTCTTCTGTAGTTTATGCTCCTGATTGTCATTTTTAATAGAGTCTTGTACTCTGTTCCAGAAGAAGGTACCCACCCCCTCCCATGTTGGCCTAGATGATTGATCATCAAATGAACATTCACCATACAATACAAAACTGGGAGCTAACTGTACAAATTAAATTCTTTCTGTCTCAGGATTTTGCTGTCCTTAGATTCTTACAGTGTACCACATTTCATTTAAATAGGGATAGCATTGGTATAAAACCTCTGAGAGTTACTTGCCTAAGGCATCGCACTTTGTTGCCATATGTTCCTGCCTGTGCCACCTATTGTAGCAGCAGTCTGATTTTTGCTTGGCTGGTGAGCTTTACTTCATCCTTCCTCTTTAGCACAAATGGTACCTTCAAGTCTCCTGAAGGCTGACTGACCACTTCTTTCCCCCACTACTAACAGTCAAACTCCCAACAATTGCTAGATATTAAGCAATTGATTTTTTTTTTAATTTGAGGAAGATTAATTGCTAATACTTTCATTCTTATACATAAACAGCTAGGTTTATGGAGACTCAGTCTGTCTCTTACTCTGGCGCAACAGTTTTCTTTCTTCTTCTTTTGCAATCTGCTGTGCCTAGGTAGCACGAAACACGCAGTCCCTGGGAGTGTTAGCACTGACCCCAGCGGAACAAATCTTTTACCAAAAAAACTCCATACAACTACAGGAGTGTAGTACACAGCAACGTAGTCGTTAACGTAGGTTGATGGTGAGTGGCATCCCAAAAGGGGACTTGGTGGAATGTTGTTGCCTCTAGTGAATCAGCAGAAGCGGTGGCTTAATGGCCTTGCCTCTTAGTCGCTGTATATTAATCTCTGCAGAGCAATGCCTGACATTGCTCAGAAGTCAGATGCTGTTTATAACTACGCTGGAAACATAACTAGAACCCAACAGTGTCACTAATTTTTCTTGAGACTGTATATGCATGTTTTAGGTTAGCTATTTTTTCACTGCTGCACTTAGTTCAAACATTGTATCAGCAGTATTGTAAGGTGGCTTGAAAGGTTGTTTTGTCCATGACTTTGTCTAGTCGCTCTGTCGATACATGACCAAAAGACCACCATGTGTTCAGGTGCCGAGGCTTTCTCGGCACACGTACGACATGTCTCAGAAGTACCGCCTTCTCTGTGCTTGAACCTGCTGCTTTTAATGACACCCAATACCAGCGGCAAGGGCCAGAGAGGAGCATTGTATCTATTCAGCATCTCCCTGCTGGCTGTGATTTGACGAGCGTTCATCACCTTTCCTGTTGTTTAGACTGAAGACTTCTACTCTTCACTGTCATTCTTTGTATGAAGCTATGCCATAATTTGACTCATCCTTTCCACTTTTCCCAGTGCCTTCAGTACCGCCACGTCGTTTTAAGGTGGGAAACAAAAATCACGGACCGTATTCAAGTCTGAATGGCGTCAGATGCAGTATGGGTTTATACAGTGTCATAGTAACACTTTACGTTTTGTTCTCCTTCCTAATAATTCCTAACACTCCTAACTGTTACTGAGCATTGAACATGTTTTCTTAGAGCTATCAATTGTGTATTCATTTCTCTGAAGTGATACTGATTATCAGGTTGCCAACTGTGGGGAAAAAAGTGAGAAAATACATTTTCTCCTAACATAGATGTTTTATAAGTAGATTATTTAAATGTGAGGATAATTTTAGTTTTACTTTTCAGTCCTGTAGTCTTTATATTGTGATTTCTTGATTCAGTATCTTGACTGCTGCTTGTCATTCTCTTTTTTCTCTACAATTAAATTTATGTTTCTTTAATCATCTTTTTCTGTTAATTCAAACCTACTATACAACGATGCAAGCATATCTTAATACTGGTGTTAGGACTGTTGCCAAAGAAAACATTTGATGCACTTTCCTGCAGCTTTTAGTATTATAAGATAAATATCTGTGATATGGATAATTGGGATAGTTTTGTAGACATTTAATAATGGATCAGATATAGCAGTGGCAAAATCAATGTGAAGTTGTGTCCCACGTTGCCTCATTGGTGTGTCTCATAACATGGCTTGCAGAAAACAGCAGTTTAACCATCTTGGTCTCTCAGCACTGTTTTTGCTGCTGCGTCTATCAACTGCGTCTGTGTTACTGTAGCCTTTTGCCATGTGGATTTTTATCTCCTACGAAGCTGTCTAAAGCTGTCAGATAAGTTCGTGCAGGCCACTGTACCACCGTTAAATATAGCAGGGGTGACATTTTCTCAGGTGCAGAGGTCGACATAATGCTTATGCACCACTTAAATTTTACTGAAACTCTCATTTAAGGCCTTCACTGAAATTTTCCAACAGCTTTCGATGACTGACAAACCACTAACTTCACTAATTCAGTAACTGTTTGCCATATTTGGGCGAGATATATGTAAAACGCTTCCCTTCTGATTTGATGCCTTTGTTGTCTGAAAAAGAGCTATTTGATTTTGCCTTGTTTGTTCCTTTCTCTCGTTTTCCATTTAAATATTATACTCTCAGTTCAGATACATCAGTGAGGAATAGGTTGGGTGCTTTCTAAGACCAACGCACTGAGATGTGATCAGAAATAGGTTGCAAAGCCACTGGCTTTAGCCCTGCCTATAGAGGGCTTGTACAGAGTCAGAAGGGCAGGCAGAAGCATTCAGAAGGAAGTGAATGACTTCCTTCCCCGGTGAGCATTTCCCCTTTCCAGAGATTATTCCTGCCTCCAACATCCTCTTGTGCTGCCGCCTGGGGAATACAGTAACGCTTGTGCTGCCGGGAGCACTGGAGAGCAGCTGGAACTCCATGCCACGCCACCTTTCCTGCTGCCACGTGACCTGCGTCAGTTTGCTTCAGAATAAATTTTTAATAGCTGGACATCTGGTTAGTTTGGGTTTGAATGTATTTTTCTATCCATGTAATAAAGGAAAAAAGATTACTCAGGAAAACACTTGAGTTGTTATTAAATAAACCTATACAATAGCTCATACAGCTTCCAAAAGTTCTTCATTTATACAGCTTTTACCAATTTTCTATGTCAGGTTTTACAAATCCTGCCTTGTTTTCACTAAAATCGTGGTTCCTAACTTTACTTGCTGTAGGTATACAGAACAGTGGAGAGTCTTGGCACAGTTTAGCGTTCCATCAAAATGAACAGACTTTTGCCGAAAGAGAGGAAGTATCTGTGTATTGTTCTGTTACTGTAGGTGGAGTAAACAGACCTTTAGGGAGTCCTTTATCGCTGGAGGAAGTTATTACAGAATGGCATTAGAGCAGAGACTGCGGGAATATTTACTGGAAGTTCAGTGAAACTTGAAAGCTGTTCGGCTCACTTAATAAAATATTTATATATCCTGTTTCGGTACATACCAAACAATGTTGAAGAAAGGAAGTTATTTCAGAACAAATGAATTTTTATTAATCAGAAAGCTTAAAAACAACAAAACAGGTTAGATAATTTAAATTGGTTTGTTTAGATTTTTTTTTCCTAGACAGCACTGTAGCCCTCTCCAGGGAAAAAGAAAACATTCCCCAGCGGTGAGAGAAATGTGTCACTGGTCCTGCAGTAATTAAAAGGTGATGGAATACTAGTTTGACTTTATGGCTTCAGAAGCTGTGTACTTGTTTAAAAAAAATAAAACATACGAATGTAGTATTAATTGATTCTCTTTTGTCTTAATGCTTGAGTCATGCAAGCCTATAGAAGAATTCTCACAGTAATTTTTAACTCACTTTTCAGTTACAACTGTATACAAATATTTTACAGTGTTCAAAATAAAAGCTCCAGTAGTTTTTGTTAAGCACTTGTAGATTTTTATCTTTGAGAGCAAAAAGACCCATTTAGAAATTTAGTCACAGCTGTAATTAAGAAAGACGTGGTATTATTTTTCCTAACAGAATTCATAATAGTGCTTCTCATTTAGCTTTATTTAATTTCAGGGACTTCCTGTACCCTTTTTTTCCAAAACAGAAATATAAGAGGATTTCCATTCTGCTACATCTGATTAACGGTGCCTGCTGCTTCATTCCCACCAGACTGCTTTCACTTGGGTTTTCACCCAGAACTGTTTAAGCTCTTAACCTTTGTTAGCTTGGACACTGTACGCAAAATTCGAACAGCAGTTCTGGGAAGCGCACTTCATAAACCGCGTGCTCGTGGTAAAAGGGCAACGACTGGAACAGAGCTTCACAGCCTTCCTTCCTACAAGGTAGGACTGGACTCTGTGGCCT